CAGACCTGACAGAGTGTGGCATCGATATCAGAGCAGCCTCAGTGTACTCAGGAGTGTTCACACAGATCTTTAAAGAGGAGAGAGGACTGTACCAGGACAAGGTGTTCTGTTTCATCCATCTGAGTGTTCAGGAGTTTCTGGCTGCTCTTCATGTCCATCTGACCTTCATCAACTCCGGAAAAAATCTGCTGGAAGAACAACAAACAACCTCACAGAAGTCTGAAACAGGAGAATCTGCGGAGAAACTCTTCTATCAGAGTGCTGTGAACAAGGCCTTACAGAGTTCAAATGGACACCTGGACTTGTTCCTCCGCTTCCTCCTGGGTCTTTCATTGGGGACCAGTCAGACTCTCCTACAAGGCCTGCTGACACAGACAGGGAGTAGCTCACAGACCAATCAGGAAACAGTCCAGTACATTAAGAAGAAGCTCAGTGAGAATCTGTCTGCAGAGAAAAGCATCAATCTGTTCCACTGTCTGAATGAACTGAATGATCGTTCTCTAGTAAAGGAGATCCAGAAATCCATAAGTTCACGAAGTCTCTCCACAGATAAACTGTCTCCTGCTCAGTGGTCAGCTCTGGTCTTCATCTTACTGTCATCAGAAAAAGATCTGGATGTGTTTGACCTGAAGAAATACTCTGCTTCAGAGGAGGCTCTTCTGAGGCTGCTGCCAGTGGTCAAAGCCTCCAACAAAGCTCTGTAAGTACATATGTGATTATAACTTTTTCTTTTTTTATCTGTGAATTCTACTTAACAACAACGCAGCCATTTGCAATCAATAAAAAAAATAAATGGTTTTCTGGCTCTTTAAAACAGTATACAGCTATATAGGAGACAGAGGAGCCTAAATATTGTTAGCATCACAATCAACTATATGATACTTTTAGTACTGATAGGAGCCTAATTCTTGTTGTCAAGATGTTCTAAAAACTCATTGAAAAGCCTGCAGCTGATCAAAAATGCTATAGCAGAGTCATGCCAGGGACTGGAAAGAGATACCAATGTTTTAAAGTGTCACTTTCCAAGATTGGGCTCTAAAATGTAGAGTGATTTAACGAGATTCCACTTTTTAATCACGGCTCAAAAACAACATTTTAACAGGTTCACGGTTTGTTTTCAGTACCAAATTCAATTCAGTTACATTCATCCAAATCACAACAATCAGCTCAAGGAGGGTTAAATAGCATTTGCCTCACAGCAAGAAGGTCCTGAGTTCATTTCCACTATCAGTTTCGGGTATTTCTGTTATGGAGTTTGCATGTTCTCCCCATGTTTGCGTGGGTTCCCTCTGGGTACTCTGGCTTCCTCCCACAGTCCAAAGACATGCAGGTAGTGTGGATAGTTTAATTGGTTAGTCTAAATTGCCCATAGGTGTGAATGCAGGTGTAAATGTAAGTGTGAATGATTGTCAATGTTTTAACTGGTAGAAATAAGCTGTCTTTTTCTAGCTCCTGTCAGTACTCTTGTTGCAGCATTTTGGATCAACTAAAGGCTTTAAAGGACGTTTTTAGGACAACATCATAATATTTATTTATAGCAGTCAAGCCTATAAGTAAGAGATGTATATTTTTAGCAACACTTTGAAAAAGGATGTTTCTAATTTTAGAGCTAATGTGCAAATGACGCAAAGTTAAACATGGAATATTAATTAAATGCATCTTTTTAGATATTTCATATAAATTACATTATTTTTTTCTTGTCTAGTCTCTTTTGCTTTAAAAATGCTTTTATTTTTAAAATAAAAATCTCCAACCAGTTAACTCATTGCAAATATTGTTTAACAATTTTGTTTTCAGACTTAGTGGCTGTAACCTCTCAGAGAGAAGCTGCAAAGCCCTGTCCTCGGTCCTCGGCTGCCCGTCCGCCAGTGTGACTGAGCTGGACCTGACCAACAACAACCTGGAGGATTCAGGTGTGAAACTCCTGTCTGCAGGACTAGCAAGTCCAAAATGTTCACTGGAAGCTCTCAGGTCAGAATTAAGACTTTCTCTCTGATCACTGACATTTTAAAAAAAAATGTATATTGCATAGACAACTGACTCTTACAGAGTTGTCAGGTGGCACTATTTTCTCTTTCTTGTATTTTTCTTGTTCATATTTCCATTTTATAAATTTAGAATAGTTTCATAAAAATAGACTTCTGTTTTGAGGTTTGTGTTTTTCTTTTTTTGTGAATTTAGGATTCAGGTTGAGGAAAGACTGAATAAAAAGAGAACCTAAACTAAGTTAGAATACCAAGTCAAAAGACAAAGCTCAACATGGGAAGCTTAGATATTTGAAATCTGCAATCGTCTGTGGTCTTACCTGTTCAACCTTTGTGTAGTTTTTTTTTTTTTTTGCCATCCATTTTTAGTCAAATCCTTTCTTCTGCTTTACTGGTTGTCAGACAGTTAGCAACTGGATTTGTTAAATTATTATTTTTTGGAAGATTTCAGGAATGACGCTGCTTTGTTTTTTATTCGGAAAGTGGGTTCAGAAAGTATTCTTGAAAACAAATTATGTCCACCCCAAATCATTTAATTTCTTTTGGTCTGCCTCCATTTAATCAACTTTCAGTATCCATAATGAGAACCTGGATCCTTTTGTCATTACACAGATGGTCAGAAAAATTTATGATCTACTCCCTTATATTCATTTAGAATAAAAAAAAACAATAAAAATAAATATATAAATAGATAACAATAAAAAGTAATCTAAATAACCAACTACACAAAAACAAGGTGTATACATATGTACAAGGTTTATCTGAAGTATTACACTTTTCCTGTGTGGTGGTGATGTTTCTTTCAGAGTGTGTGTGTGGCTGTGTGTATGTGTTGTATGTGTGTGAGAGTTGTATGGCGCTTTTGTGTTGTGATGAAGAAACTATAAGACAAATTAAAACCAGAGTTTAAGGATGTTTTCTAAAAACATCTTTAAAAACATAGAAATGCTTCTATTTCTCTTGGTCATTGCTTAGACAGCTAAGAAACACTCCATGTACATTGATTGGAATGTACCTAATAATGTCAAATCAATTAAATTGATTAGACATGATACCAAAAAATGCTAGGTAAGCGTGTTTTAATGTTATGATTCATATGATACCGATGATGGATTTTTAGGCTAATAGTTAAGCTAACACACTTAGCTCTCATCTTTTCTTTTCTCATGAAACCAATAGATCCTCTATTTTTTTTAATTGTCTCACAGTGCAATTCTTAGCATATTTTTTTTCCTGCAACTGGTCCATCGGGTTATTGTCTTCCCACAAACACTTCCCTTGTGCTATTGGAAATCTGTTTTTTCCTATTTCCATTTTCCTTTTTTCCTATTTCCGTTTTTTTGTTTTTTTTCCTATTTCCATTTGTCCTATTTCTGTTTTCTTTTTTCTTGGATATCGACAATTGGATATAGTTATATCCAATAGTCACAATATCGATATAGTTCCTTGGATATAGACTTGGATATCAATATGTTTACCTCCTGAAGAGTGTTATTCACTTAGTTGGCTATTGTGAAAAGGGGTTTCTGTTCACCATGGAAATGATACTGTGATCACCCACAACTGTCTTCCATGGACATCCGGGTGATTTTGCTTTGCTGAGTTCCCAGTGCTCTCCTTCTCAGGATGTACAAAACTGTAGATTTTGCCGCTCCGGTTATTGTTGCAATTTCTTGGATGTTTTTTTTCTTTTTTTGCAGCTTAAGTATGGCTTGTTTCACCTGCATGGAGAGCTCCTTCGACCACTGTTGTCTGTTCACAGCAAAATCTTACAAATGCAAGCACCACACCTCAAATCAACTCCAGACCTTTTATCTACTTAACTAATAATGACATAAAAAGGAATTGCCTACACAAACCCATGAATAGCCTTTGTGTGTATTGTCCAATTACTTTTGGTCCCTTTAAAAAAAGGATGGTACAGTTAAGAAGCTGGAACTTTTAATCAAATTTGAATGTGGATAGCCTCAAATAAAGCTGAGTCTGAAATTGTTGTGAAATAACATCAACAGTTGTGATTTAGCACTATAACAATTAAATTAAGTTGAATAGATTTTCCTGAATTTAAATGTGCATTTCTTTCTCTGTTCATGGTGTGGTTGGGGGAGCGACAAATGGACATATTTCAGAATTCAGAGAGGATGATACATATACTTGATATAAGAATAATAAGATGTCTTAATAAGAAGACCTTTTATTATTTTAAAACTGTTTAACACACACTTTAAAGAAGAGAAAAAAAACTCCACTCTCAGGACTACTTTTAAATATAAAATAATTTTGCAGGTTTATTTGAGTTCACACTTGTGGAAAACTATAGCCTAATTTCAAATAAATAGATTATAGCAGTAGGCCAATAATTTTAAAATAGAATAGTAATGACAACTATTTATGTGTTGTTATGACTTCAGTACATTTTAAATATATTAAATGATACTGTTCTCACTTTTTTCGTCTAATTTCTGTTTTTGAACATCACTGCAGAGCTCCTCCATATTACATACATACATACATGCTTATGGCTGTAAAAGGTAACTTTAATATTAATGCAGAACTGCACCGTGTCTTCATGTAGTTCATTTTTTCAAAAAAACCTGCTCCCATACATACGTGTATCCCAAGAGGGACAGAACTGTAAACTAAGAAACATTTGTATCAGAAATGTTGCAAATGTGTACAATATGATCCGCACAGATCATGTTGCATGCCCATGTGGAGTTTTGAGACTGATTTAATGCTGCCAGCTTTCCACTGAATTACAAATTTAAGCTGCATTTAAGTCTTAGTGTAAAAACAAATGTGTACAAATCCTTGCTTGAAATGTGTACAAATCATTATGTCTCTCTTTATCATAGCCTTTAAAATCTCTCACACTACAGGTTCATTTTGTGGTTTCTATAGTTTCCAAAAGCAGATGTAGACACTGCCTGAGATCACTAATGCTATCTGTTGTGAACCATCAGTACATTCAATTATATAAATCTAATCTTGAAAGAAAAATACATATTATTTAACATCTTCACATAGTAATAGCTGCTTTATGTCTGCAGTCTGTCAGGCTGTCTGATCACAGAGGAAGGCTGTACTTATCTGGCCTCAGCTCTAAGCTCCAACCCCTCCCATCTGAGAGAGCTGGACCTGAGCTACAATCATCCAGGTATCTCAGGAATGAAGGTGCTGTCGGCTGGACTGAAGGATCCAGGCTGGAGACTGGACACTCTCAGGTATGGAGACAATGTCTGATAAAGGAGGAAGAGCTGGAAACTGTTACACTTTCTTCAAGAACATTTTTTCTTTGCTCACAATAAAACCAACAGTCAAATATAAAAATAAGATATTGTCTGGGGGAACAGTGCCTTTTGCCAAATCTATTCATAAATCTATCAGTTCATAAAATAGATTAGATAAAAATGTAAATAGATCCATGTATGTTCCTCCCACAGTTCAAAAATGTGAAGTCAGTGGGGTTAGGACAATTGGTGATTATAAATTGCCCATAGGTGTGTCTCTGTGTTAGCTCTGCAACAGGTAGGTGACTTGTCTAGGGTGTACCCTACCGCTTGCTCTATGATAACTGGGATAGGCTACAGCAGCCAATAGGGACAAAATAACTGAAAATAGATCAAAAATCAAGGGCTGATTCAAGATGAGCTAATTCTAGCATTTCCAATTCCTTTGGTTCATCAAAGCCACTAATAAAACAAAAAGATTAACCAAGCTGATGACTGCAAGCTCTGTGATCACTTGCATGAAGAAATACTGGACACCATGGTCAGAAAGTGAGAAATAATGAATAGGAGGGAAGGTCGTTTCTGACCACAGGGTTTCTTGAGATTAACATCTTTGCTTGAACTTTGATTGTTTATAAGTAATACTGTGTTCAGTGTGCTTCTCTGCAAACGTGATAAGCCCATAGCATCTATTGCTCGATGGCACTTGGGAATTTGCTGGGATTTACTTTAGAGACCTGGAAAATAAATCCCAGGGACCTGTCAATTTTTAAAGTCTGGAATAATGTATAAGGACTTTAAAAAAGTGGCTGTTAATACTCATACACAACTTTTACCTTTACAATTACAAATACCTCAAAGATGAGAAGGTCCACAAAATTAACTTGACTTGCAGATAGGATATTATTAAGCTTCCTCTTGAGTCATTTATAATTAAATTCAGCTGTTTTCCCAAATCGTTATATAGTTGGGTGATGAAAGGAATACTTAGAGCACCTACTTAATCTTGCAACCACACTATTGTTAGAGGAAGCAAAGTCTAGGGACAAGGGAGATGACTTGCCATCACTGGGGGCAAGGTCACTGAGATAGTTTAACAACTTCTTGGTGACTGGATGTCTAGGGTGGATGAGGTTTACCATGAGTTCCTTCAGGCTCTGGATGTTGTAGTACTGTCTTAGTTGATATGTCATTTCAATTCAAATTTTAAAAGTTTCTAAAGCCATTCCAAAGAAATTTCCTCTTTCCACAAACTAATTTCCCTTCAGTGTTACTCACAGTGTTACTCACTCAATATCAAATCACTCAAATCACTAGCTCATATCACTCTGATTTTTGATTTTCTAAATGAAACAATTCTTTCCAGCTGTCCAGTGTTTAATTTATAAAATGTCGAGGCTTGACCTCCACATGCTTTTGTGGAGGGCAAGCATTACTTCCAACCTACCAGAGTGTGTTGTACATTATTATACACCCCAGAACAAAAGTTTAAGACCACTTGAGAAATGGTAGAAAAACATGCAACAAGAAGAAATGGGAGTGAGACAAAGCATTTCTTGGCATGCAGTTTATTGAAAATAAGGCTAAAAGGGGCGGTCTGCTAGCCTCCACCCCGGAGGGAAGGGTAACATCTCTTGGGTCTGGGTGCCGTTTC